TCGCTATGAGTCGCAAACGACTTGACGGCACATAACAACAACAACAACATCTGATCCAGTGTAGTGTTCATTTTTCATAACCTCTTTTCTTAGTTTCCCCTTACCTCAATTTCCGTCCTATTTTAAAACAGTGGCATCATGCAATATTTGTGTTTTTATGACAGAGATATTTCACTCAGTATGTCCTTCAGACTCATCCATTTTGTATATTTTATGAGTTCCTTGTTTTTCAGTGCTGCATAGTATTCCTCTGTGTGACTATACCCCATGTTCTCTATCCATTTGTTTGTTGATGGGCACTTGGGCTGTTTCTATCTCTTTGCTATTGTGAACAATGCAGCAATAAACATGGGTGTGCATACCTCTGTTTGGGTGGCAGTTCTGGTTTCTTTAGGGTATATTCTCAGTAGTGGAATTGCTGGGTCAAATGGTATTTCTATTTCCAACTTTTTGAGAAAGCTCCCTACTGCCTTCCAGAGTGGTTGAACCATTTTACACTCCCACCAACAGTGGATAAGGGCCCCAGTTTCTCCACAACCTCACCAGTATTTGTTGTTTACTGTTCTGTTAAATTTTGCTATTGTTACTGGGATGAGGTGATATCTCATAGCTGTTTTGATTTGCGTCTCTCTTGGACTGGCGATTTTGAACATTTCTTCATGTGTTTGTTTGCCTTCTGAATGTCTTTTTTGGTGAAGTGTCTGTTCATATCCTGTGCCCATTTTCCAATTGTGTTGTTTAACTTTATTTTGTTTTGGTGCTCGAGTATTTTATAAATTTAGATATAAGTCTATTATCAGACATAAGTCCATTATCAGACATGTCATTACCAAATTTTTTTCCCAGTCTGTGGCTTCCCTTTATACCCTGTTGGAGAAGTTTTTGGAAGTGCATAGGGATTTGATTCTTAGAAGAGCCCATTCATCTATTTTATACTTTCCTGGTTATAGGATTTTCAGGATGCTTGGAAGACTGTTCAAATTATGGATTAGAGCTTCTAGAGTTCTTTCAACCTTTTCTCTATTGAAGTTTATAGTCCATGATTTTACTCCCAGGTCCTTGAACCACTTTTAGTTGTTTTTTTGGTGTATGGTGCGATGTGTGGATCTTACTTGAGTTTTCTGCAGATAGTTTTCCAATTTTGCCAACGGCGGAAAAGACATTTGAAAAAAAAATGGCATCTGCTAGGTTCCCAGACAGAAGAGATGTGCTCTGAAAAGAGACTGAATGATTTAGTCATCCTTGAGAAGCCAGTGTATGCCACTGTAATAATTTCCTTTCTTTATTGTAAAGCAGAGTTGGAGGACAGAGTTCTAAGAAATGAAAAATACTGTCAACTACCTTGCTTTTGGTTACTTGTGCTGTGTGACATACATTTTATTGCTCTTTCCTTTTTAGTGAATCATTTTTCAGTTTGGGTCTTCCACGAAACAGCTGTTGTCTGATGGCACTTGATCTCAAAGTGTGGTCACTACACCAGCTCCATCAGCATCACTTGGAAATTTGTTGAAAAAGAAAACCTGGCAAAGCATAGCCCTGACAGATTAAAAAGGAAACTCTGGGAAAAAAAAATAAAAAAGGAAACTCTGAGGATGGGGTCTAGCATTTTGTGTTTCAAAATGCCCTCCAGGTGATTGAGATACATTTTCAGAACAATTCATCTAGAGGAAACTCAAGTCACCAGCAACGACTTGGTTCTCAATGACAGCGTCCCTCCATTTGGTTTCTGAGGCTGTGAATGGTAATGGGAAGAGACTGTCCATCTTTCCCTTATGGAGCCACTGGTGGACTTGAACCACTTGAGACTCTTTTTTTTTTTCTTCTTCCTGCATTGGGATTTATTTGTACAAATAACACAGGAGGTCACCAGCCCCATGCAGATGGCAGCAGCCCAGGGGGTTACACCAGTTCTTCTGTCCTCAGATGGAGAACTCAATTATGGAGCCTTTGCAGGGGCCTGGGCACCTTTAGGAGCCTGGCTTGGAGCAGGAGCCTGGGTTGAGGCCTTAGCTGGCGCCTGGGCTGCAGCAGCCTTGGCTGGCGCCTGAGTTGAGGACTTTGCTGGAGCTTCGGCCTTCCTCTCAGCCTTGGCTTTGGATTTTGGCTGGTTAAGCCTGAACCCCTTGGCAATGTGGGCCTGAGCATGCTTCCCAAGCCTGGGATGGGTGATGTAGGCGAGTTGGCTGAACTTGCGGTTGACACCCCTTGGGATCCTGGGCTGGACCTCTTTGGGCTTCGCAAGAGCCTTCCCAGCCTCAGTACGTTCATCCATGGCCTTGGCATTGTTGGCTTGCATCTTCTTCAGGCCCCTGTTGTTGTGCTTCTTGGCAAAGTGCATATTCCTCAGGAATTTGGGGTCTATTCCCTTAAGAGACTCATATCGTTGCAATCTTGGTTTCTTGATACCATTTCTGTGCCATTTTTGGGACTGGTTGTGTGTGGTGTGGTTTTTGGACTTGACCATATCTGCACTGTCGCCGTAACTCCCAGAGCGCCAGTCCCACTTGAGACTCTTAATCTTTGGATTAGAAGTGAGATTCTCTGTAGACTATGCCACTGGCCTATATTATTATTATTATTATGTACCATCAAGTCAACTGTGACTCATCCAGCAACACTATGAACAATAGACATGAACCTTGCCCTGTGCTGCACCACCCTCATGGTCGTGTGCTCGAGTCCATTGTTACCGTCACTGTGTCAGTTCAGCTTGTTGAGGATCTTCCTCTCTTTGTCTGACCTTCCAGCATGATATGATTTTCTGAGAACTCATGCTTCTTGATAATATACCCAGATTACGTGAGGTGAAGTTTCCCCATCCTTGCTTCTAAGAAATACCCTGCTTGCGCTTCCTTCAAGACTGTGTTTTTTAAGCAGCCCATGGAATATCTAATACTTTTCTTCTTTTTTAAAATTTACAAATTGTTGTCATCCTAGATATTTGTACCAAAAATTATTTTATAGTGGTTTGCATACAAAATTATTATACATTTTGTTTCACACTTTACTTCATTCCCATTGAGTTTCATACAATCATTCCCATACATTTTGCTTTAGAGAATTAATTGCCATTGAATTATGCCCACCATTACCACATCTCTTCAGCTCCCTGTCAGATCTTTCCCATTTCCTTTACCCCTTCCCTCCACCCATCATATTGTGGAACCTTATGGTTCCCCCCATCCCCTTTCATCTCTCTCCTCCCACTCTTTCTCCCCTTGGGCCCCTATACACAATTTACTAGTTATCCTTCTTCTAAGACTCTTCTTACAGGAGTTTATATTTAAGAAATGAAGTCTATATGGTTCTTAGAGTTGTAAAATAAAAAGTTGGGTTTTGTTTCTAACAGTGCAATTTGCCTGATCAGAGACATCAGTGAGAAATTAACCTAGAGTCTGCAGAAAGCTGTTCCAGAAGATCAGGAATAATTAAAAGATACCTGTTCTCACCATTTCTGTCAACACCGTACTAGAGGCTACTAGCCTTCAAGGTAGTGAGTGTAATTAGACAAGAAGAAGAAGAAGAAAAAGATAAAGAACGAAAAGTCATTAAGACTATGAAGGAAGCAATAATACTCTATTTGGAAAAGAGACGATCTTATAGATAGTAAATCCTGATGAAGCCCCAAAAGTCTATTAAAGCTAATAAATCACTTCAGCAAGGCATGGCAGAGTTTCCCCATCAAGGTTCTGGTTAGTCCAGTGGATAGTAGGTAGATTTTAAGAGCTGAGTAGCTGAGTCCTGTCATGTACATTCACTGGATGTGCCTTCTCATGCTTAGAATAATCACGGACACTGTAGTCTCAAGAGTGCAAAGAGGACTTAAAGCACTTAGTAATGAAGAACAAAGATTAAATACAGCTTTCAGTGTGGATTACATTTCAAGAGAAAGAATTTTCAAATTCTCCCAACGGAGCCAATAAGTGTGTTTCTTATTGAACGCCCAGGAACACAAGGCAGAGAGACTTCAGCAGTGTAAGCAATACCCCAAAGGCCTAACATGATCTTAAACCACAGTTGCCATAAAATAGATTGCAACTCATGGTGATTCTGTGTATGTTGGATCAGAATCGTGCTCCAGAGGGTTTTTTTTTCTTTACTTAAAGAAAAAGAATCTATTTTTATTTTGTTGCTGAGAACATACATAGCAAAAAGTTACACCAACACCAGTTTCTATATGTACCATTCAGTGACACAGATTATATTCTTCAAGCTGTGCAGCCATTCTCATGGTTTTTTTTTTTCGTTGTTTATAGGGTTTCCAGTGCCTGGTCTTTTCCAAAGGGGATTGCCAGGCCTTCTGAAGCACATTCGGGCAGATTTTAACCTCCAGTCTTTTGATTAGCAGTGAGTGAGCTAGCAGTTTTCCCCTGTATGGAATTTGAGTCCTTTATTCTTAGAGGTTAATGATATTTTAAAAATGTCTTTTTCTAAAATCAAGCTGATCTGATGGTGGTTATGAACGTGAAAATAAGATCATGTTCCACTATTGAAAGTTATTCTCAATAGTCAGCTTATTCACTCATCCCTGAGCATCAAAAAAACACTTCTGGATTTTATAATGTCCTCAGTCTACAATATTCTCAATAAAAGCTTCAATTTGGGTTGGCTCTTTTTTTATGTGGTGATAAATAAAATGTATTTCTGAATAAAATGTTTTCCTGAGCTGTTGCTAATACCCAATAGCTGTTGCTATTTCTTTCTAGAATATTTCTAGAATAAATAAAGGGGAGAGGAGTGAGAAGACAGAGGCAAGAAATTTGATAGGTGGGGCCCTTGTTTGGCTCAAGCGGGCCCAAGGCAGGGGACACTTGAATTTTTTTAGCCAATCTCCTTGATATCCTGGAAATTTGAGAAAAGAAAGCACACAATCTGGATCATAATGAATGTTGTTATCATTAAGTGCCAGTCAAGTAGGCTCTAACTCACAGCCACAACTGGGAACAACAGAAACTTTGCCCTATCCTGCCTTACTCAAGCCCTTAGTGGTGGTCACTGTGTCAGTCTATTTCTTTGAGGGTCATCCACTCTTTCATAGACTCTTTACTTTTCCAAGAAGCACATACTTTTCTAAGGACTTTGGTAGCACATCCACCAGCGGTTCAGTGAGTGAAACACATGAGCAGTCTCATCCGATAGCAATTTACAGCATCGGAAACTGCCAGAGGGTGCTAGAAATCGGAACTGACCCAAAGGTAACACGTCCTAAGTAGGTAAGATGAAGTCTCACCATCCGTGCCTCTAAGGCGAAGTTACCCTTCCCTCAAGATAGATTTTTCTTTTCTTTTGGCAGTCCACGAGATGTTCAGTAATAATAGCCAATACAATTGGAAGCCTATTCTAGGCTACTGTCCCTCATGCAACATCTATTGCATACAGTGAATGCAGGTAATGTTACATGCCTCACATCTGAGTAGATTGTGGAAAGAAGGGCTTAATTTAGTATAAGCATTCATGGATAAATCAGGAGTGTTGTGCCAGTTTGTGCACTTGCACTTAAAACCTTGGGATTCCTGCATGGTATAATGTATCCAAAAAACTTAGTGCTCTCTGCATATGAAGTGGAAAACTCACTCCATGAACCCTAGGGAGTAAAGGAGTGGACTTTAATGTCAGTGTCCTTGCAAAAACTCTGAGCAAACAGCTTATCATCTGGTGCCATTTTCCAGCTGTCGATTGGACTGCCGGTAGCCAGCAGGACTGGATCATGAAATGGTCTCCAAATTTTTCTGGGAGCTGGTGTGAGATCACTCTTTCCCTACCTGCCCCCTTTAATACAAGAGCCGCCCCCAGTTAGGTGCCATTGAGTTCGAGCTTTGTCCCACCCTGTGTCATCATCTCAATCTCTGCCATGCTCAAGCCTATTGGTGCAATCACTGTGTCAACCCATCTTGTTTAGGGCTTTTCCTCTATCTCTAACTGTGCCCAGCATGCTGTCTTTTCCTAAGGACGGCCCCCTCCTCACAACATAGCCAAAGTATGTGGGAGGGATTTTCATTGTCTTTGCCTCTTAAGAAGCACCCTGATTGCACTTCTGGTTACCCCAGATATAATGAATCCGAATCTATTTTTTAACAGGGCTTCCAAGGCACAGAGGAGAAACCTGGAGATTCTGATTTAGTGTTTCTAGGTTTGAAAATCACAGTAGGGAGTAGAACTGAAATAAACCAGTTTGGAACCCGGTTTCAGTTGGTTCGCGGAAACCAACACAGCCCGCCTCCTTCAGGCCATCATCGGTTATGAGTCAGCTAAAGAGCACTTGGTGTTCAAACTTCCAAAGCAGCGCTCCCAGCTTTACAGGCAGGCACCGCGGGACCTCCCACACGTGCTCCCTCTCTTTGCAGCCAGGGAACAGAGAACTCGCGCTCAGCAGGCTCCGCCCCCAATGTCTGGCGGTAAGGGGAGAAAAAAAAACCAACCAACCAACCAACCAGCCAACCCAACACTCTTACATAACCCCCAATGAGCGGGAGGTATAAAAGGAGACGCGCATGCTTTGACCTGATCACGAGCGCCAGGATGTGGAACGGGTGCGACCGCAAATCTGCAGCTCGGGCTACCACTGGAGACCTCGGCCGGGCCGAGTTCAAGGAAGACTCTGCAGAGGTCCAGGATTTTGTGGACCTCTCCAAGGACGTGAAACCTCAGCTGATGCGCAGCTGTGGAGCTCACCGCTACCACAGCCTGCGCCTTTTTGAAGGGCGGGAACCGGAAGGGCCACATGGTCAGTGCATGGTCCAGGACCCTGGCTTCGCTTCGACAGCTCTGGGAATCCGGGATGCCACCGCTGTGCCCAGGTCATCCTCCCTGCTCGCCCACCCCCTTCCCAATGCCCTCAACTCTCTCTTTGGGTTTTATCTTTTCCAGATACAGATCCGGGGGCGCTACCGGTTATTGGCGATGAAAAAGAGGAGGAAGCTATGCTTTCTGAATTTGATCCTCTAGCCTCAGAAGACGAGGAAGAAAAACCCTTCGGGGAGAAAAACCAGGGCCCCAAAAAGGAGAAGAAAGAGAATGGCGAGATTGGAGCCCAGGAGGATGGCCAGCAGCTGTCGGATCCGGCCCCCCAGTTGCCTGAGAGCCAGCGGCCCTGGAATGGGGGCAATCAGCGGCGCCACGGCCACGGGGCATTCACCCAGATTCAGATGCAGGAGCTGGAAAACATTTTCTGGTGCAATGCTTATCCGAACATATTCCAACGGTAAGCTGT